AACATGGATCCATTTTATTTCATTGGCTCTTCCGACTAACTGAATACAGCCTATAACTGTTGCTAAGTGTAAGTCAGTGGTCAGTCTAGAACAAACAAAACTCAAGTGTGCGACTGATGAAACAACAGTTAACTATGAATACTTAGATGACACATTCAGTGTGTCCAGTCATTTGAGTCACACTTCATTTCTGTGGGCTTACTCGACAATGTACATAAGAATATCACTTTCACGATGGAGAACGAAGATGTTGATAATTTCCACTTCTTGAATATACACTTCGACGGAAAAATAGATGGGACATTCGAGAGACCGATACATCGTAAAGATACATAGAGCGGTCTCTACTTAAATTTCAGCAGCTTCTGCTCAGTCAGCTACAAACGAACCCTGGTGAAAACGCCTTCGTCCAGAAAGAAAAGAATATGTTCGTCTGAAAAGTTAAACAGTGAACTAATGTTGCTAGAGAATTGATTGAAAGAAAGTGGCTATCCACAAAGCTTCATTGACAAATATGGCAAGAATGAACGTAAGAAACTTGGCTTATGAGCCCACCAAAAGGAATCTGTCGTTGAACTTCAGTTGCCCTGGCGACTCATCTACGAGTAACTCTCTTTTTTTAATATCATTAACTTATCTTTACCAACAGGCCAAACATTCTGATGAGCAAAAATTGTACATCTCAACTCATCATGTGACAAACAATTCGCAGTCGACCTTCACATGGAAACGATTCCATAGTACGAACTCAGAATCTACAGCCACTAGATAACCCTACACAACCAAAATGACTTGTGACATGTGTTTCATCATCACAAGTTGATGCCAAGCCATACAGTCTTGAAAAACAGCAAGATGTTCTCAAGTTTTCCATAGGAGGGAAGTCACAAATGCTCCAGACTGACCTGAAGCACCATTTCACCACTTCACCAACTATGTATCGGTTAAATGGCGTGTAGCAACTTGAAATGATGTAGTTTTGTGTACCAACTGAAATCTCAGTCAGTCAGTTAGTCTGTCATCCTTTCTATTCCTTTGCGTTCCAAGTAGAACATATGGTTTCGAGTTATAGGCTATTAAGCTTAAGTAAATGGGGTGTTGTTTTATGACAAGGTGGGGTTCTACACTAATTTGTTTATTAGATATATCACACACATACAATGAATGAAACAGTACTGCTATTTATTGGATGACGATGCCTTTCGAACACAGTTTATTATTATTGGTCATAATCATATCAATTACAACCATACTACTTCGAAACATTCGTTTCATATTTCTAATTATTCCTTCCCATATTCGTCGTAGGGATAGTAGTATTAGTAGTAGGATTTCCCGGATGTTCAGGTGAATGGCACGTGTTGAACCCTTCAAATTAAAAGCATCTTCAGTTAATTCGATAAATAAAGCTTCAATCATCAGTCCTGCTCTCTCCACCCTGTTATGTAAGATTGAAGAACTGTCATCTTATCCCATCCCATTCTATGGACGTTGTGTGTAACTGCATGTACTGTTGTATAGCTGATCTGTTCCCCAGATTTCTTATCTTATTGTCGGGTCAACTAATCGACATTTTGTTAGGTTTTGTGTTCCGCTAGTCTGACTGACTGACACCGTTCTAATGATGCTTTGACCTATGTATTTGCCCTCACTGACCCACAACCACTCCAGCAGGGTATTAGATAAACCAAATTATGGCTTTGTTTAGTTAGTTCCCCCGGATCGACCCTCTGATTGACAAAATTTGTTTCTGAATGTGAGTTCGTGATAGGTGATTGAATTTCAGCCAATTTTATTCCCATCTGCATTGTTAGCAATTCTAACTGAGGTTTCCGAGGTTCCTTCCTTCTTTCTACAGAAGTACTATTGATGATTTAAATTCCTTATGGTTGGTGTGCAATTTTGAAATGTATCCTTAAATCCTTCCCGTCCTATTTCCTAATTCTATGCTATAATTTAACATTGGAATCTTCCCTTCCTGAATTTTTAATTCATAAGTGAGCTGTTGTATTCGAAAACGGTGAATGTGTCATCTTTAAACACCCACTATACTTCTGGGATAAGTGGGGCTGAATATTTTCTCACCTGTCCATGAATATGTCCACCACTATCGGAGATACTGGTGACCCCATGGGAACTGAACAGACGTGCAGTAGGAATGATTCAAAACCTGCGGTTCACCCGAACATCTGGAAAATTCTACTACAACTACTGTAACAACAGAAGACAATGGCCAGGCAACAGATCGTTTATTAAGGAAAATCAACACATATTTATAGATTTTAATGTACATTATTATAGATTATTGCTAGTAGAAAATACAGTCTTTTGATTGCTTGTTTCTAACAAAAAGTTAACCCTGCATCTCTTTGTGGCTGTGTCAGATCATCCATATGCTAACTGTATCCGCCTACGCAAAGCCTTTGTTTTCATTTTCTCACCACCAATATTGGGGACATAAACACTGACGTCAGTTATGTCTACCAAGTTTGGCTAGCAGCCAGCTCTCACCACACTACTACTACTACCCCTACGACGAATATAGGCAAGAATAAATACAACTATGAAAAGAATGTTTCGAGTTAGTATGGTTGTAATTGATATGATTATGAACAATAATAGTAAATTGTATTCGAAAGGCATCGTCATCCAATAAATAGCAGTACTGTTTCATTCATTGCATGTCTGATATATCCAATAAATAAATAAATGTGGAATAACATACTACCCCGCATTAGTGCCTAAGTTCCACACATATGTATTAAATATTGACAGCTAGCCTTATGCCCAACCTTCTATCTTTTCTGAGTTTACTTACTACTGTCTAGTTGTGGGATAAAGGCGTGCATCGGTTCCCGATAATCGAAGCTGTACACACTCGTAGTCATATTTAATGAATCACATTGTAGGTATGTGTGTTTACACTAGGTTTGTCAGACAAGAATAAAAATTAGTCAGGCTTATTGTTAACGTCATCAGATTGCTTCAAAAAAGGTGATTAGTAATCAAACTGTAACTAGGAGGAGTGGGGCTGAATGTTAGAAAGAGGGCAATAGTGATGAGTAATCAATGCACTAGAGAAGTTTAATATGTGCATCTCAGTTACGTAATGAGATGAATAATTTGAAGAACGGGTTGTGATTTGAATGTACATAGAAATGACTAGGGAAAATATAGAATTATGTGAGAGTTCTGAGGAAGAAATACAAGAGTGATAAATAACTGGAAAAACAAGCAAACAAAATCAAGCCAGTAGAACCAGGTTGTTACCGTGATAGCAGAAGTGGTTGAATAATTTTGCTTTTGTATGTGTGCGACAGCTCCGGTTTCGCCTCTATCTGAATCGCTAAAGCTTCAGCAATGCAAAGGAGATGAAGGCGTAATACCTTTGGCAGGTTATTCGTTTCTTAGTAGATTACTATTTGAAAGAGGAGCTTGTTGACATGGAATGACCAGTGTGTTGACAGGGTGTTCGATTATCTCACTCCTTAAAGAGCCACCATTTCTACCTTTCTGCAACTATATGGTGGAATGGTGTTCTATAACCTGTCCTTTTAGACAGGATATGTTTTGAAAGACCAATATACCTGACTTTGTCACAACAACACGTTAATTGATATGAGCACATAGAATTGATCAGATATTAGATTTTGTCGTTAAGGATTCTGCAAACCAATGGAAGACTTGAGAAGAACACTACTCGTAGCATAGTTGTGAAGAATGTTCTTCTCAAGGATGCTGATAATCTTTTAAAGTTATCACTGATTGTCTCCCTTGAAATCCTGGTTCCAGTAAAATTCAATTTCGGAACAAGTAACGTTACGTTTCCCTGAAATTTTGTTTCGGTATTCTTGTCGATGAATCTTGGTGGGTATCCATTGCTTGGATTAAGGATTCTTTCAGAAGATCTAGTTCTACTTGTAGGGTGTCAGAACTACAGATGCTACACGTCGGATCCGAGTGGCAAGATATTTAATTCAATTCCGTTGACTTTCAGCTGGTGGCATCTAACAGTAGAAACCTGTTGGTTGATCGTTTCATATGGGTTCCCTGTGGACTGACTTTCTTAAGATTCTGTTACGTCTTCTTGTAAGTTCCACATCAATAAAATGAATTTTGGATGCGTCTCCTGTTTCAAGAGTAAATTTTATTTTCAGATGGCAGCTTTCAAATACCTGAAGCAGTTGGCTGAGGTTATAACTATTGTCGCAAATGATGAAATTGTCATCCACGTACCTTGTATACAGTTGTTAATTGATATAACCTTTTTGATGCTAGTCATGAAACTGTCTGTTGGCATAAAATAGATCCAAGGGAGATACCATTGTAATACCATCCTTTTGACCGTAGATGGTGTCACTAAAAGTGAATTTTACATCTAGAATCCACCTCAGCAGCAACAGTTCTTTTAAGAATGTTGTTGGTATTCCAATGTATATACCAATAAATATATTCTCACAGTGTTATACAGTAATATTTACTGATGACGTTTCGAGCACAAATTATTGCTCATAATCATATCATATATCATACCAATAAATATATAATTATATATAAAACAGACAGTTTCTGTAAGTTGGTGAAAAGTGATTCACTGTTGAAAGATAGCATTTACTTTTTTTCAGTAACATTCATGGTCTTGCAAACAATCTATGAGAATCGGAAGGTGTCATAAGCTAGTACGTGCACTTGATGTTACCTTACGGGTGTTTCAGAATGTACGGTAACAATCTTGTAACAGAGTGATAAGGGGAATTTAATTAATTTGGGTGGGTGCGTACTGTGAAGAGTCCCAAACAAGGACGAAACAGCTGTCCAGTACTCCCAGCTGGTTTTCCAGTGGTTCTCTTATCGATGTCAGCTCATGATGAAATCCTCCAACCAATCAAACAAATCCCTTCAAACCAATAATTGATAATTTAATTTGATTAAAAATTGATTAATTAATTAATTTTATTCTACCTCATATCTTTCTTTGACATTTTCCTCTTGTATTACAGGTGCTTTCCTCATCCCATATTTCATCAGTATATTTCTAGCTGGTATCCCTCTCTTCCTACTTGAGGTGACTATTGGCCAGATGACACATCGTGGAGTGATAGCGGCATGGAATATCTGTCCATTATTTCAAGGTAAGTGATAGATATACGTTGATGTTCTTTCGGGATTTCATCATAGGACGGCAAGACGAGCGAGCTCGTAGACCATTAAGCCACTGGGGTCCGCCAATCCAATGGCTAGTTCATCACTTCCTACCTCTGCCAATTCAAGATCGATATAGCACGACTACCGCTAGCCAATATCATCTGTGGTGGGTATTTGTCCTCATACCTGACGACTTAGTTGATTGATTACGACTGGTGGTTACGATTCCTTAGGAGAAGAACCCAGGTGACTACCACTCACGTGAATAGGGCCCGTTTCTAGTAAGCAACAGTTTTGTAGCCGGAAGGTCCTGCTGGGCGCAAACCTCAAAGGGGTGGGTGGGTACTACTGAAGGGCCAGTCCCCAACTAGGCTGACGAAACAGTCAGGTGTCCAGTAGTCCCTACTGGTGGTTTTGAATGATTCTCTAAACGATGTCAGCTCATGATGAAATCCTATAGGCAATCGAATCCCTGCAAACCAACACTAAGCAATATTGATTTTTGACTCATAACAAAGAAGCAGTGTAGGCCCTTATGGCGTTTGAAACGACGCGTAGGTGTAATGAGTTCGACTTTCAGAAAAGATATAGTCATCAGTCACTTGGGGTGTGGGGATTGCAGTTATATCCAAGGATCGGACGGTTGGTTGTGCCGGAGAATAGGACAAAATGCACACCTTATTGGACTTCACCAACACTAACGAAAATAATTTATAATAATAATAGCTTTATTCCAAACAGCACTTTTGGTACAAATATGGAATTTTCAGCAAACACTTCAAAGGCAGCCTTCTCTGACAAGTCCCATTGTCATTTAGCTGTGGTCCCATGAGGTCGGTGAAGATTTGGGCGCTACACTCCATAGTGCGGAATCAGTGTTTCCAAATTATTTCGCCGTCAACGTTGTTGAATGCCTTTTCAGATTATTCAATGAAATTGAGGTAGAGTGAGATTTGACTGCCGCCATTCTTTACTTTGTTTGACATGTAACTAAAAATCCTCAAATCAGGCATAATCCACATGCTAAAAATAAACTCCTTATCATTTTTAAGGCAGTAAAATTGTACAGACTTACATTTTGAATTCTCCTCTAAAAGTGATGATTATGTGACTTGGTTTCTTGTCTCCTTTTTCTGTCAAGGTATTGGTTTCGCTTGTACGCTGATCAATTTCTTTCTCAACTGTTATTATACCGTGATATTATCCTGGGCATTTCATTTCATATTCTCCTCATTTACAACTGAACTCCCATGGACTAAATGTGGCCAGGAATGGAATACACCCGCGTGTACTGTATTTTCAAATCAACCGATAAATTTAGAGGTTTCACAACATACTATTAATGTTACTAATACTGCTATGAGTAATCAAAGCGTACTAGAAGTTGATGCAACTACTGAATATTGGGAGTAAGTAAGACTATTTAAACAGTTTTTTAAAATGTTTAATCAATTATCTTCTTTACCATACTATTGGCTATAATATTGAGTAGTATTTAACCAATTACGAGACATTAGTGATCACCGCTTATGTAGGTAAATATCAAAAGCTTCAGTCTTCCAGAGTCGAATGTATGTACTGGGGATGTGTGTTTTGCTTCGTTTTTGGTGTCATCAGCTAGGTGTATCTGAATCCCAGTGGATGACATTATTCCCAATGAAAATTAAACTCGTTATCTATCATTACGTGGCGCTATGTCAAACTGGAACTCTGTTCATCGTTATTGCACATAGTATAGAATGAAAGTCAAACATCTGTCTCAATTTCATCGATTAGTTTGACGGCGAAATAATTTGGAAACACTGATCCCGCACTATGGAGTGCAGCGCCCGAATTTTCAAAGACCTCATTGAACCACAGCTAATTGCCAGAGGGACTTGTCAGGTGATACACAACGGAAATCTCAGAAAGCCTGGCTTTGATGTGAATACAGGAGTAAGACATGACTACCTTTTATTACCAACGATGCTGTTCCTGGTTACCGTCGAATGGATCATGCGTCAGACTGTTCACAGAGAGTGATAAGTCAGGAATATGTTAAACCAATAAGAAAACTCTAGAAGATCTGGACTTAGCAGATGATTTATAATCAATGTCACACAAACACGAAGACTATCAGGCAAAAACTAAAAAACTGACAGAAGAAGCAAGCAGAGAAGGTAATACTTAAAATGAACATAGAGAAGTTGGAGGTGATGAGGATAACCAACCAACCAACCAACAGCAGCAACAACCAGAACCAATCACCATCAGTGGGATAGATTTGACAGAGGTGACTTCCTTTGCTCACCTAGTAAGCATCGTTTCAACTACAGGCATTTAATAGAGGTGAAGATGTCAAAACAAGCCGGCCAGAATCAGAAAGGCAAGATACGCCCTCATCAACCTGAAACCAGTTTGAAAATCTTCTGCACTCCACTGAAGCACAAACAACAAGATTCACATTTACAACGCAAACGTGAAGTCAGTCAGTTCTTCTATAAATGGGTTGAAACCTTGACCATTGCGTCATGCAAAACATTTCCAACGGGTCACTGCAAACCTCCATTGACAGTTTCCTTCGCTTCATAGTGAAAGTCAAATGGCAGACCAGAAAGAATCAGCAACGATAAACTCCGGCACGGAACAAACTAACCAAGAAACTATCGCTCAAAAATATATGTAGTTGGAAACGAAGATACATTCGTCACGCTCTGAGGAGACCATGGAATGACAACGCGCGCCAGCCAGGCCGCTACGTCGCAGCCACAGCTGTGGAAGGTTTTTTCAATGGTCTATGAATTCGAATTCGAGATCTGTCCGCTGTTTTATGCTCTGTCCTAAGATGTTGCTCAGAGCTGCTAATTGCTCCGCATGTGAAATACTTTTCCTGAAATATTTGTCTTTTCAGGATAGTCAAGCCTACATTTTTGATTGTGGGGGTCCTCTAGCTAACTAAATAAAATTCAACTATGTATCTAACTAACTAAGTGAGTGATCTATATATCTGATCCAAATTTTAGTTTCCATCTTTCGTTGTAATTTATTTTAAGTTAACGTACATGATTATATGCTGTCTTTTTTCAACTTTACCATTCCAACAGAAATCGTGTATTGCGTATCTCTGATGGAATACATGACATCGGTACTATTCAATGGGATTTAGCGCTATGCCTTCTGCTTACATGGGTTATCATCTATTTTTGTATTTGTAAAGGGATTAAAACGTCAGCAAAAGTAAGTGGAAATGAGTTTGTATACTTTTGATTAATCTCTGTCTGTTTCTCTCCTCTGTGTAAAGAATCTCATTTTAAAGTGATATTTCAGCATTTAGTTGTAGAGTTTGATGAACTTTAGGTTGTTAAACTAGTCAGCATGGTTGAAATAGGAAAATAGGACTTCAGTTGGAGCACATCAGCCATTTCCCTCTATTTATTGTAGTCGTTTTTAGATGGATTCTCATCACACCATCTTATGAATTTCATCCCCAGGTACACACATAACACGTCGGGTTTTACCAGACAGACGCTTCATGTGATGCACGTGCTTCAAATCTCTGTACAGTATAGAAGTATTGACCATCTCACATTAATGCTGACAATCCCAATCTTCTTCCCTGGTTTGGGTTCTGCAGATTTCCACACTGATCTCAGACCAATGAAGGTCTGACACTGGCTTTGATATCTACATCTGTTTCACCTGTAGTTGAAACGATGATGCCTAGATAAGTGTAAGAAGTGACTTCATTTCGATTTCTCTGAGAGAAGGTGACTGATGCGTGTGGTTGCTGTTGTCAGTCACTGGATATCTTCATATCCTCTGTCTTCTCTATGTTCACTTATCTAGAAGTCCTGTCTTCGCTGCTGACCTCTTTTGTAAACTTTCTGGCTTGTACCTGTAGATCTTTTAGTTCGTGGGAAGTTAAACACAAATCTGTCACAAAGTTCATAACTTTTCGAGTTCTTTCGTTAGTCCGAAGTCTGCCTATCAACTTTTTTCCCACCCATAGAGCATATAGCTTCAAATGAGGCACATTTCCATTTCATCCTGTTCCCTGCAGTGTGCCTTAAATGACTCTATGATTGCCTGTAGGCTTTCATCTTCTCCTCGTAAGATCTCCATCATGTAGATCGATGGGCATACGTCCAACTTGTCATTCTCCCTTCGAATTCCACTCGAAATCCTGCCTTAATTGTGTGATGTCACTCAGCGGTCTCCCCACTATATGTCTAATCTACTTTTCCTTATCTCGCCATTAGCAAATATTTATTGAGCAACAATTTCTTGGTTAGTCAGTTGTCAGACGTCCTCGTTGCCAATCTGAAACGAAGCAAAGCAGCAACATGACCTGATGGAATGAATCCAGAGGTGTTTAAAGACGGTATGGAGAATTTGCTGTCTGGATTAACCAAAGTATTAGGTAACTTCTGGGAACCAGAGATGGTCCTGTTGGGCTGGTTTGAGTCACTGATTATCCCAGTATACTCAAGAAGGAAGACAAATCTTCTTGTGATAATCAAAAGGGTATCAATTTGAAAAATGCAGTTGTATCTAAAGTTCACCACTAGAGTTTCTTTTGGAAATCGAAGTTATTCAGATCACAGTATGTGATCTCCTTGATACCACCATGAATAGTGATCAAGAAAGCTGGCATATTTGCAGAAAAACATATATATATATATATACTACTAAATAATTGGAAAACTATGGTGAGAATTTCAGGGTGACAACCTTAGCGTTTTCTACCAATATGATTTTCAGAGAGTTTTCCACTGTTTATAACTAACTCGTTTGTTTATTTCAAACCCTTGTGTAATATAACATTTTTCTTCATTTCTATGTTACCTCCTGATTACTGCCGATTCAGTCATATTTAATTATTTATCTAACTATGTTTATCTCCTACCCTTTTTATGTTTTGATCAATAATATTAACAAATATGATTAAGACGAAAATTCACAGTTCATCATTCAGTCATTGGTTTGCAGGGACTCGAATGGTCATAGGATTCCATCATGAGCTGAGATCAGTTGGAGAACCATTGGTAAAGCGGCAGGGAGTACTGGAATGCTGTTTCGTCCTAGTGCCTGGGTCTCTTCAGCAGTACTGTCACTTCCTTCATCTACCTAGGAAGCATCGTTTCATTTACAGGCCACAACACGAATGAAGACGTTGAAACCAGAGTCGAAAAGGCAAGGCAGACCGTCATCACTCTCAAATTAGTGCAGAAATCTTCTCCACTACAGTGAAGCATAAACACCGGAATTCGGATTTTCAACACGAGTTTAAAGTCAGTCATTGCTTCTATATGGGCAAGAAAGCTGACAAGTTTCGTAAACCATTTTCAACAAGTTGCAGAGATTTATCAACAGCTGCCCTAACACTGAAGTGGCCGAAAGCGGCAGTTTATCGATCACACATCCACTGATCATTTGTGGGCTGTAAAAATTAATCCGTAGCTCAACCGAAGATAAGACTTTCCTGACTTGGTAAAGATAAACACGATTGTACAGCCCCTCCAAGGATGATTTTATCGATGTAGAACGTTTTCTCCGCTGAACTGATTTTCATTTTCTTCAAAACTAGTTGAAATTTAAAACAGTACATCGGCACTGAAACATTCAAAACTTAATTTGCACACATATATATATATATATTGAAATTATAAAAATCAGTCGTAAAAGTTAAGAAAATACTTTCTTGGTCATTCCGTGGTGCAACTAACCGCCTTACCTTACTAACCACGCACATATTAACAAAACAGAGTGGTGTGTGTCTGCATATTTTATCGGAAGACAATATCAAGAGACATTTAACCTGCATTGCGAATATCATCAGATGTATTTGTCGCAAATACATTGTTGTCTAAGTTTGTAAATACTGAGAATTAGAGTTAACAGACTGAACAAAAACAAGAACGGTCATATTGAGAAAAATGTTTTTGTTTTTTATTTTTTGTGATACAACACTCTGAAAAAACAAGCAACAAGTGAATGAGTTTTAGAGAAAAAAAAGGTCACTGTTTTGTATTGATAAATGAACGATAGTGGCAGAGAGAAGAGGAGAGGAGAGGACGAAAAAGCTGTTTACCAACCAGCCACAATAACGGGGAGCACTTATTGAACAGCTGTTTCTTTCATCTAGCTTAGAACTGACGCTTTAAGAACCTTTTGGTTACAAGGCCATATTCAGTGGCCATTATTCAGCCACTCGGGTTGGAATTTATTGACCTGTGTGAATTGTAAATTTTGTCAGTTGACAATTTTTAATTCAAGAAAAATACCCATGCAGACATGGGAATACGTCGGTGGCTAAGTAATAGAACACTAGCCAACCTTGCAAGTGGTGCGGGTTCGATCCTTGGAGGATGCATGCCTTTACCTCACTTAGCCAGGAATGAGCTCGGTACAGAGGGAGGCTAGTAATCCATTCCCTTAAAAGTCAAGAATGTTACTGACACTTTAAAGCTCTATCTCGAAGCCATATGTTCCACTGGGAGGGAAAATGAAAATAAACTCTGGAAATAAGAATAAACAGTTCAGCGATGAGTCTCTTTATCGGTAGCAAACTCATTTACTTAGCCGTACAATCGCATCTATACACAATTATTTTTGTACATGTGTGCGCACATTAGGTTTGTCGGAAAAGAATAAAAATTAGTTAGAGTTGATGTTAATGACATCAAGATACTTCAGAAAATGTGATGAATAATCGAATTATAACTAAGGCGAAGTTGAAGGTTAGTAAACGTCCAGAAAAATAGGATAAAGAGCGTAGAGACAAGTGTCCAAAAGAAATTATGTAGCAGGTAAAATATTCTGACTGAAAATGGTTACCTCTAGCACGCTTGATGGAGAAGAACACGAAACCGAAGCCTAAAAATGAGAAGAATGAAGTTTACTGCTAAATAAATTACGGAGTATGTATGTGAACCTCAGGAAAGAGTTCGCTAGTGACAGATATCCAGAGAGAGAAGAATCTCTAGTTCCATGAAGATCTCTCCTGGTGCAACACTAAGAGTGGTATTCTCTAGCCGCCCACTGCTTCTGAGCAATGTGAAAGACAAACCCCTCAGTCCTCACATATTAGTCCACCTGCTCTCTTGTGGAGCTAGGCACATGGGTCGACTTCTATGCTCATCCTTTCAAAATTCGGAGGGGGTATACAACACTACCCAACACAGCTAAAGAGAGGCGGCACTAGTTCGTCATCAGAAAAAGTTGTATAATTGAATACCTTGTCAGCGCACACCTGTCACACAACATCTCAAGTGATATTTCATTCACTGTCCACCAAAAACACATTTTGTGCGTGCGTGAAATATTCACACTGCTGATGTCCTCGTGCCATATATATCGAGAAGCCGGAGTTATATGTTCACTATAAAGAGACTAATCCAGACTCTACCATATTTACCATGAATTTAGTTTAGTTTAACTCCTTAATTCTCGTTTGTTTGGTTCTCCATTCCCTTCATCCTTTTTTCATCTTCAATTATGGGAACAAGGATTATTTAAATTTTGTTTCTCTGCTCACCCTGTTCACAGTTAGCTACCTGATTTATAATAAGAACTATTATACCTACTAAGCAGCTGTTTTCTCATTGTGCGTAATTTTGTTTCTATGTCCCCCTTATGATCTGATCTATGTTCACTCACACCTTCAAACTTTCATCATATCAAGTTGAAAACTGTTATCATCCCATATTGATTCCACACATATATATAAATGAAGCAAGAAAGTTGTGTGAGTAGTGCTTGGATATGATTACGAGCAATAGTTTGTGCTCGAAACGTGGTCATCAGTTAATATTACTGTATAACAACACTGTGTGGTTCATCAAAATAAAATCTTATCCATAATGGGGTTACTGTAGTTCACTTTGATGAATTAAGTATAGTTATCCATGAACTGAACCTCGCCTAGATTACTAGGTCACTAGTATTCTAGCCGGTCCCAAGCCCGGATAAAGAGGGAGGGTTGGGGCGTGGTGCTAGCAACTCCACCCCCAAAACTTAACCAAATTGCTACTAAAACTTCAACGCACAAATATATTCAAAATTCTAAAATTACAAATAGTGACCTTATTTTTCGCTGGAATCGGGGAAGTGAAATGACGCGGGCTGGTGAAAGCCTTCGGGAAACCAGTCAGCCGATGTGCCTTCTTTCGATGAGAGCAAAAATAAGGATGGGGACGTGGAATGTTCGTACAATGTACGAAGCTGGGAAGGCTGCTCAGGTAGCCGCAGAAATGAGGAGATATAGAATAGAAGTGTTGGGAATCTGCGAGAGCAGATGGAACGGATGTGGAAGGAGCCAACTATCAACTGGAGAGACAATAATCTACTCCGGTCACCCAGAGGACAATCACGAGCACACCGAGGGAGTAGCCATCATGATGTCACCAACAGCGGCTAAAGCTCTCATGCAGTGGGAACCAATCTCCTCCAGGATAATGACAGCCAGGTTCAACTCAAAAGGAAAAAAGGTTACAATCATTCAGTGCTACGCGCCTACAAACGCCTCAGAACATGAGAAGAAGGAGGATTTCTACAGTCAACTACAAACAGTAATGGACAACGTCCCAAAGAGCGATATCAAAATCCTGATGGGCGACATGAATGCAAAACTGGGAGGAGACAATACAGGAAGAGAACTCACCATGGGTCGTGAGGCCCTCGGTGAAATGAACGAAAATGGTGAACTCTTCTCAGACTTCTGCGCCTTCAATGATTTGGTGATTGGTGGCAGTGTGTTCAAACACAGGGATATACACAAGGTGACATGGATTTCACCAGATGGACACACCAAAAACCAGATAGACTTCATTTCAATCTCAAGGAAGTGGAGACGGAGCCTACTGGACACAAGATCGAGGAGAGGAGCAGATGTGGGTTCAGACCACTATCTAGTACAAGGGACTTTCAAGGTGAAGCTGAAAGCCTCGAGGATACCTGGGGACAGGCCACAATGCAAGTTCAACACGCAAAAACTGAAAGACACAACCACAAAGGACACTTTCACTGCAACTGTCAGAGCAAAGCAGGAAACACTACGTGGCACCACTGAGGAATCATCCGTGGAAGACCATTGGAACTCTCTGAAGGTAATTTTCAACGAAACGTGCTCAACGGTTTTAGGAAGAAAGAAGAAACAAGACAAGGAATGGCTCTCAACAGACACTTGGAAACTAATAGAGGAGAGGAGAAAAGTGAAAGAGAAAATGATTCAATGCAAAGATGGACAAGAGAAAGAGACGCTGAACTCAACTTACACAGCACTGGACAAAGAAGTGAAGAAGAGTGCCAGGAAGGACAAAAGACAATTCTACGACAACCTGGCTACTGAAGCTGAGAAGGCAGCAGGCAAAAGGGACCTGAGGACACTATATCAGATAACCAAGTCTCTATCCGGGAAGAGATCAACACAAGTGAAACCTATAAAAGACAGCCAAGGGAACCCAATTACCAAAGAAGAAAGACAGATTAAACAATGGGCGGACCACTTCAAAGGACTCTTGAATCGACCAACACCTACAACCCGTCCAGTAATACCAACAACAGCACGTACACAACTGCAAGTTGACACCAATCCTCCAACGAAAACTGAAGTCATGAATGCAATCAAGCTTCTGAAAGCTGGAAAAGCAGCTGGACCAGATGGAATACCCCCGGAAGCACTGAAAGCGGACCCAGAAACGACGGCAGATATGCTGACTCCATTATTGCAAAAGATCTGGAAAGAGGGAAAGGTGCCTACTGACTGGAGGGAAGGTTACCTGGTGAAACTACCAAAGAAGGGCGACCTGGGACTCTGCAAGAACTGGCGAGGAATCATGCTCCTGTCGACGCCAAGTAAAATCCTGAGTCGCATCATCCTGGAGAGAATCAAGGACGCGCTGGATACAGAACTCCGACCAGAACAAGCTGGATTCAGGAAAGGCAAATCATGTTCTGACCAAATTGCAACTCTACGCATTATCATCGAACAAAGCATGGAATGGCAATCAAATCTCTACCTCAACTTCATAGACTTTGAGAAGGCCTTCGACAGCGTTGACCGCGAAGTAATTTGGAAACTACTCGAGTACTACGGCGTACCGCAAATATTCATCAACCTTATTCAACAACTGTACGACAACGGCACATGTCAAGTGATCCACAACGGAAAACTCAGCAAGGCGTTTGGAGTAAACACAGGAGTCAGACAAGGGTGCTTATTATCACCAATGATATTCCTAATTGTGGTGGACTGGATTATGCGTCAGACAGTGGGAAACGAGAAGACAGGGATATCCTGGACCGACGTGAAGAACCTGGAAGACCTGGATTTCGCGCGTGGATGATTTATGTTTGATGTCACACAAAATCGAAGACTTACAAGCAAAAACCGACAAACTGGTCGAAGAAGCAGCAAAGACAGGACTCCAGGTGAACATAGACAAGACGGAGGTTATGAAAATAACCAACCAACAACAGCAGCAACATCCAGTGCCAATCACCATCAACGGGAGGGATTTGAAAGAGGTTACTTCTTTCACTTATCTGGGGAGCATTGTCTCAACCACAGGAGGAACGGAGGGACGAGGATGTCAAATCGAGAATCGGGAAGGCGAGAAACACATTCATCAACCTGAAACCAATCTGGAAATCTTCGTCACTCACCATCAACAACAAAATTCGGATTTTCAATACAAACGTGAAGTCAATTTTGCTTTACGGATCAGAAACTTGGCGGGTCACCAAGAATATTTTCAACAGGTTGCAGACCTTTATCAACAACTGTCTTCGCTCCATACTGAAGATTAGATGGCCAGAAAGAATCACAAACAAGAAGCTATGGGAACAAACTAAACAGGAACCAATCGCCCAACAAATATGCAGGAGGAAGTGGAGATGGATTGGACACTCGCTGAGGAGGCCGTTGAGTGACATCGCGCGTCAAGCCCTCGAGTGGAACCCGAAAGGGAAGCGGCGAGTGGGACGTCCAAGGGTGACATGGAGGAGATCGTGTGAGGAGGAGATGAAACAGTATGGAATAACATGGACGCAAGTGAAAAGAACAGCAGAAGACAGAAGCAAGTGGAGGCGTGCAGTTGAAGCCTTATGTTCCACTAGGAACCCAAGGGAACAATAATAAATAATAATAATCCATGAACTGACTTATAGAGAATCAGTTGTACAACTTATGCTACATATAGTGTGTAAATTCTATTATTGAAAATGTATATATCTGAATGTATTATTCTTTTCATTTGAGAAAACCTACTAAGACAGATACATTCAATTTATTATTTCCGACGGAACATAGATATTCTTCAGCAGAGGCAAATCTCATTTTTCCAGAGATGATTGATAATTTGGTAAAATGCCACACCAATCTTTTGTATCCAATACAGCATTTTAAAAAATTTTTAAATTGTATTCATTATCATGAATACAAGTGATTCTTTTTTACAAAATTAAAATGGTTACGAACATGGTAGTGTGAAAATCTTTTTTTGTTTTAATTAGCATATTTTTTGTTCAAGGTGCTCAATGTGTTCATTTTCTGTTTTTTGTTTTGAAACTTTTCAGATTATGTATGTTACAGTTCTTCTGCCTTACCTATTCATGTTTATTTTACTTATTCGTACTCTCCTGCTCGATGGAGCGTCAGTCGGATTAATTCATTATCTGAAACCTGATTGGTCAAAATTGACAGATATGACAGTAAGAGAGTGTTAATTTTTTTTTTAATTGTGCATTCTCTGAGCTGCGTAGTCATTTAATCGCGAACCTCTTTTTGTCCTTCTAGATAACTTCTTCAGTACACAGTCTTCAATGTATGTGTGTGTGTGTGAAGTGTGAACTTGCTTAAATTCACTAAATGAATAAAATAATTTTCTCTAGTGGCAACGGCCTTGGTTTTGATTGGCTGCCTTTAGCTTGCATTCATATCGATCACTTTTTAACGATTTGCAATTTGACTTTTTTTGTGACTTTACTGCTGCAACTTTATTAGATGTACAATATATCTGTTATAATCACTGACATTCGTCTGAGTAACAGTCAGGCTTCTAGGGATTCCCTCAGATACATTTCGTGTTTTCCTTGTTTCTAAAATATCTGATGTCAACAATGGTTGTCTACATATGGATCGCTGTCATAAAAGCAGGAATGCATGTCGTGTTTTTTTTCACAAAGCTAGCTCGACAGTTCATATTCTCGGTCTTGGAGTCGAACAAGACGCTCTGTTTGCATGCAAATTGCTAATCGATTTACAATGTACACAAATGGAGGAGGTCAACACAGTTTTATTCTGAAAGTAAAATAATTTAGGTCACACATCATATGTGATTTGCTTGGTACCACCATAGCATGATAATCAAGAAACCACACATATTTGTATAGAACTATACATACTACTGACTGAATAGTTGAATGCCATTCACATCAACCAGTAGTGTTTGCTAGCGAATAAACACCAAACATCTAAACATCCAACGTCCATTTCACTCATTCTTTTCCAGAGGTGTGTGCGGTTTTACTCAGCTCTGAGGCAGAAAGAACCGAATCAGTTCAAACTACCCGAAATCTGGTTAGCTGCTTAGGCGATCAGCTAGTGATACCATAAATGAAATCACCATTTTCATGGTTTCTTGATTACCACTGAAGGCACCAAGCAGATCACCTAAAGTGTGTGATATGAATAATTTCCGTTGTGTTGTTCTTGTCTTCATTTGTTAGTTTGTTCCGAGTGGAACATATGGTTTCAACAGCACGTCTCCACTACACCCTGTTCTCTGCAGTCCTATGTAGCTCGCCGGCTCCGTGACTGCCCATAGTGTCTCAACTCCTCCGCATCATACGATCTTCTTCATGTCACCTTCGAACCTACAACCAGCTCGTCGTTTCCCATTCGAGTTCTACTCTACTAGACAGATGAAAAATGTTCTCAGTTCTAAGTATTTTTTAATTTCGGTCTATTCGTCTCTTCCTCACTCCCATATTTTGATATAAACTTTCGGGGCTGTCCATTCTCAGTAGGGTTCTTTTGGATAGCTGTTAGTTCCTCTTCAATCTCTCATTGTCTCTTTTAAAACTGAATAATTCCTCTATTTACATCATATTTTTAAAGTTATGTTGTGGCTGAAACTTTCTATCTATAACTCGGCATTACTGTGAAATAAAAAGTACGTGTAGAAATTCTGTAAACTATAATATTATTTTGTTTAGGATGTAAACATTTGAAAAAAAGAGTCCACGAAATAAAATGAGAGTTCGTATTATCTTACAACTGCAATTATGTTCGTTATATTTTTTGTTCTGAATCATGATGGAAAACTCAGCGAGGCGTTCGAAGTAAATACAGGAGTAAAAAAGGCTGCATGCCTATTTTCATAGATGATATTTTTAATTGTGGTGGACTAGATTTTGCGTTAGACTGTGAGGAGCGAGGAGTTAGAAATATGCTGGACGACCGATAAGAATATTCTAGAAGATCCGGATTTTGCAGATGATATATGTCTAATGTCACTGTCTGTCTGTTTTCGACATAGAACTTTGCACATATGTGCGTCAGTTCAAGTCGCCACACTCCATGTAGCACACAAAGCAAGAGAAGAAAGTAGGAGAAATGCATAATAAAGACAGTAAATAGAGGTGTGAGACAAAGGCATAGTTATAACGAAGAACAAAACATTTTAATTGGAAATCATAAGTCACAAGGAGTGGATGCATCTGCAACAGCCATTGAGAACGATTTTAAGCCATGTCACCAATTGTTTCCAACCATTGGTTTTTACCGTCCCGAGGACCTCAACCAGGAAGTCTACACCTTCCTACGTGGCTTAGACTAACTGTTGTAGATTTCATTGACTGGTGCCATGTTTTCGTTTGACTACCGCTAGCTCTTTTCCAGCCTGACCCTATATCAGCTAACATTGCCATTACCAAACAACTGTTTGGAAAAGCAGCGAAGACAGGACTGCAGCTGAGCGCAGAGGAGACAGAGGTGATGAAGATAACCAACCAGCAGTAGCATCATCAACAACAATTAGCACCAATTACCATTAACTAGAGAGGTTTAACAGAGGTTAATTCCTTCACTAATATAGGAAGCATCGTTTCTACCTCTGGCAGTCGGAACGGATGAAGATGTGAAAGCCAGTCAGCCAGAATCGGAAAGGCAAGACACTCTTTCATCAACCTGAAACCAGCTTGGAAATCTTCTACACTCAGCATATGGAACCAGATTGGGATTTTCACACAAAAGTTAAGTGAGTCATTTCTTCCACTAAATGAGTCAGAACCTTAACCAGTGGGTCACGGAAAGCATTTCCAACAAGTTACTGCAGACTTTTATAGAGAGCTCCCTTTGCCTTATATTGAAAATCAAATGGCTAGCTGACCGGAACGAATTATCAACAAGAAACTGTGGCAGGGAACTAACCAACCAAGAGCCGATTGCTCGAAAAATATGTAGGTGAAAATGCAAATTGATTGGGCATACGTTGAGGAGGCCATCGGACGACATCGCGCGCCAGGACCTTGAGCAGAATCCCAATGGGAATTGACTAGTGGGTCGTCGGTGCGAGAGTGACATGGAAGAGATCGTGTGACGAAGAGATGAGAGATTATGGGCAATCATAGAACCAGATGAGGAGGACAGTAGAGAACAGATCAAATTGCAGGTATGTTGCTGAAGCCCTATGTTTCACTCGGAACCCAAAACAATTCGTCATCACACTAAATCACCTTCCTTGGTAAACTTTGTTTTGATACCAGTCAGGGAAGATGTACGATTACTTCTGTTACTTTGGTTTAGTGATCTTCATTGTTATTTTGACCTTCAATATGTCCTTTTAAATTTACCTAAATTTATTTTATCACCTCTTAACTCTTTATTAATTTCAAATATATTCCTATAACAAGTCCGTGTGTGTGATCAGATTGTTCTAAATATGTTGCGCAAATACATTACAAGCCGATTAAGACAAATTTCTTCTTCTTATTGCCTTGTTTAAACTACCTACCATGGAGTGGCAAAGTGGTTAGGTGAACTCCTCCAACCGCTACACAAATTGGTAGTAAACCATAATGTTAAAGACGTTTTCGAATTTATTGATAACGTGGATGATATCAGTGTAAATGGGAAGCAAATGCTTTCCTTAGATGTAGCGTCACTGTTTACCAATGTACCACTTATGGAGACTGTGGATTTCATATGCCAACAGATACTAGAAAAGCAGACTGACATCGGAATTCCAGTTATTAGTCTGAAAGAGCTGCTTTTAAGATGTACTATGAATGTACATTTCATATTCAACAACCTTTACTACAGGCAAATCGACGGTATTGCCATGGGTTCTCCATTGGGGCCAATTTTGGCAGATTTCTTTCTTGCCAAGATTGAAAATGGTCCATTGAGACAAGTAATAGAGAAAACTGATTCTTATTTTCGTTATGTTGATGATACGTTCATTATTCTTGATGTGAAAACTGACAAGAATGTAATGTTAAAAAAGTTTAATGATGTGCATCCATCGCTCATCTTCACGTGTGAAGAAGAACATGATGGTGGATTACATTTCCTTGACGTCCAATTGAGCAGAAGAGAGGATGGTTCACTCAAGAGAGATGTCTATAGAAAACCTACATCTGTAGGACAATATACGCATTTCCTCAGTTTTGTACCAATCCGATATAAAATCAATTTGGTCAGATGCCTTACGAATAGAGCAAGACGTATTTGTACAGATGATTCCCTAGAAAATGAGCTAGGATATATCCAAAATACGCTGGTCCAAATGGGTTATCCTAGTAGATTTGTTAGGAGACACATGAATACCAGGTACAATAAAGAAAAACTGACAACAGTTAAAAAGAAAGAACTGTTCATGAAACTGCAATTTAATGGGGACGTGGCTAGTGAAGTCTTACATCTGAGATTATCGAGAGTGATTAAACGGACTTATACTGCCACCACCCTTTGTTTGTCATTTTCCAGCCGACCAATTTTGATTGCTCAAGTGAAAGATAAGCTACCTAGTTGTGCCACTTCGATGTGTATCTATAAATTTAGTTGCTCCTGTGGAGAAAGCTATATAGGGCGAACAACTAGACAGCTTAGCAAACGTATTAATGAGCATCTTCCTTCATGGTTCGAAAAAGGCCAAATAAAATCCAAACAAAGTTCTATTTTGGCTCATTTGATTGATAGCGGTCACCAAGTGGGCAAAAACAGTGCTTTCAAAGTTATCTATCGTATTCCATCGAGTCTTTCGAATGGAATCAGAACCCATCTTTTACACCTAGCCGAAGCTATGGGAATTAATTCGAGAGAACAATCCTAGTCTTTGCATACAAAAGAAGTTTGTTCTACCTTTGTCTCTCCCTTGGCCTAGGTGAATTCTATTCGAAACCCTCCCACCCTTTCTTATTTTCCATCTCCTTTGTACTTTTATAATATTTATTTAAACTCTGATTATCGTTCCACTTCACCTTTTAAGATTTGACCTAATTTACTTATTTACTGAATTGTCTACATATACACTTATATGCATATACTATCTTTGTTATTCTTATCACCTGCATAAACCTTATTATCAATATTTTGTTATCATTATAATCATCGTTATTAACTATGTTCAAAACATTTACCACATTATTATTATTATTATTATTATTATTATTATTATTATTATTATTATTAAGACTATTGAGATTATTATTTGATTCCCAAAATCACCGTCATTGGTTAAAATTTTATATATAAATCTATGTAAATTAGAGTAAAGCCTGAAGAAGATCTAATTGAAAACAATATTGTTCGCTTATATGTCTTGTTCTAATATTCTTTGGTCAAACTGGCCAAGGGAACCAGTTGTCTGAAAATTATATATATTTGTATGCACATTGTTATTCCTTCCTACTTCTCAATAGATTCTTTTTGATCTTTTGTTTCTTCATTAAATTTATTTTAAGGTATGGTCTGATGCTGGAACGCAAATCTTCTTTAGTTACAGTCTTGGTCTGGGTGTGCTGACAGGTTTTGGGAGTTATAATAAAATACATCACAATTCTTTAAGGTAAGTAAGTTCATTAGATATATCACAATTACAAAACATTATGATATTCCATTAGCCTCGTTGCAGATGATGGCTTAGCAGAAGATTAATGATATGAGTCACTGATTTTCTATCCATTGAGTGCTGAATAGAAACCTTTCTCTCTAGGAGCTCAAAAATCCTTCAGGAAGCAATTCGATGAATGTTAACTAGCGCCATAGTCCAAGATGGACATTTCATCTTATTTGGGACATATTGGCTGCGTTGTTGCACATATGCACTGTTCAGCGCATTTTTCAGTCTGCATCTTGATTCTACTAGCGACATGATCATTACCTTTGATGGCAAGCCACTATTTCAGATCCAGCCGCCATTCACACCAATGACCATGATTTCTGAGGATTAACTGGAAATAATTCGATGGATGGTGTCTAACAGTTAGTGAAATTCGCCAGGATAAATATTTCGTCCTATTTTGAACTCACCAGTCAGCTGAGTGAATGTACCTGCAGTCCCCAATGAGTGAGTAAGTAAGCAATGGCTTTCACACTGATAATCGAAACCAGTAGTCTGATGTACGTGGATCCACAGCTTGTTTAGAAAATGGACTAGTTGGAATTGTCTTATGGATAGATCGATAGACAGACAGTCATACAACTACTGAATTTATCGAATTATGACGCCTACGCTATTTGTTCGTGTATGTGACTAACTGACCGACTGTTTTCAACATGGAACTTTGCAGCAGATCGAGTCGCTACACTCCATGCAGCACACAAAGAAAGAGAAGAAAGTAAGAAGAAACACAAAATAGAGACAGTAAACATAGGTGAGAGAAAAAGGAATAGTAGTAACGAAGATCAATATAGTTTCATTGCAAATCACAATCACAAGCATTGGATGCATCTGCGCCACTGAGAACGACTTTGAGCCATATCACCAACTGACTCCAGCCATGGGTTTTCACCGTTCCGAGGACCCCAACCAGACATCAGTTTACACCTTCCTACGTGCTTTGAACTAACTGGTGTGGATTTCATTGACTAATGAGGCCATGTTTTGGTTTGACTACCACTGGCTCTTTTCCAACCTGATCCATTCTATGGCAGCTAACATTGCCCATCGAGGAAGGCGATAACTTGGCATGCGTAACACATGTCCTAACCATCTCAGTCGATGTAGCTTCACAGCCTTGTCGATTGATTTCCCCTCGACGTCTAACCTCAGTATTGCTTACCATACTGTACCACTTCACACGGCTGATAGAATGCAGGCACCTATGATCAAAGATAGCTAGCCGGGCTTTTCATGTCTTGCACTCTCAATGGCCAGGTGTCAAAGGCATAAAGGAGGACGGAGTGAACTGCTGAGCAGTACACACGTCCTTTGGTCGATAGTCGGATATCACGTCTACTCCAGAGACGGCGTAAACTGGCCCTCTGTATCCGTGCTGAGATTTTGTCAGCGATCAACCCGTTGCGGTGATGCAACTTCTCAAATGAGTGAAGCACTCAACGTGCTCTACCACTTCATTCCCTATATCTAAGCTAGGAGTCAATGTAGTCTATGAATTAGTGGTGTAGATGTGCCTGCGATCCCCAGTGAGTGAGTAGCTGATTGACGATGTTCCCACTGCAACTTGGACCCAACACCCACCCATTTTTGTTCAACCACAACAGTCCCACCTAATAGACCATCTGGATAACATGAGTCACACATCTCAGTTCAGTCGGTGAACAGGAATATCAAAATTACTACTACTAATAGATATATCCTGAACAGTATTCATCTAATTTGAAGTATTTGATGAGTGGTGACTAGCAGTGAAATCCAGAATGCACACAAAGAGCCGACTTGTCAACATAGAGGCCGAACACTTCGGTCCAGTCAATCAACGGCAAAATCCAAATTGAATTAAATAATGCTTTTATAATGTACGAATTTTTAATTCCTGAACAATCCTCATCCAGACATTAATGGGGAACACAACACATAGTTCATCAAAGAGTAACCCTTTTTGGCGAATTCATTCGCCATTATTTACAGCTGTACGATTGCATTTATATACAATCTCTTTACGTGAAAGAGGATTGCACCAAAAGTAATGAATTATCGTCACAATCAAAGTTGTTAATATTAGTCAATGAGTGCATGAGAATAGTTGAATAAGAAAGTGCATTAGAGTTACGTGATAAGAAGAATTAACTACCCAGCTCAGAGAACACAACCACATCAAAATCATCCACCTGAGCTACAAATCTTCTCCATCATATCTAAGAAGAATTGTGCTTGTTGTTGGTTGGTTGATTATCTGCATAACCTGTATCTTCTATATGCCCACTTGAAGTCCTGTCTTTGCTGCCAGCCTCTTCTGCCAACTAATTGTTGGTTTTAGTCTGCAATTCTTCGAGTTTGTGTGAGATAAACCATCCGCACTCGAACTTCATATCTTCTGTAATCGTCTTACTGGCCAAACGTCTTCGTGATTTCTCGCTTCACACGCACCATCTGCCCGCATAATCCAGTCCACCACAATGAGTTGTATCCTCATCGGTGATATTAGGCAGCTATCCTTGTCTTACTCCTGTTTTCATTTCGAAGGCTTAACTAAGTTTTTTGTTATGGATCACTTGACATGTGGGTCGTCTTGGTGACTGGAGTAGATTATTGACTCTCTCGAGTTAACAATTGCCATAGTCCACATCAATTCTGCCTGTTTTCACATATTATTAGCACTTCTATATAATATCTTCCTATTTTGTCTCCATTACCTAACCGTGATGTAGTCCACATAAACCCTAATAGCTCCCCTAATTAGATCAGCTTAACTCTAACCTCTTCCTGGTCTCACCCTAACCTTAATCTTTTCTAACCTCAAACTGACCGGATAACCTCTTTAAAATATGATTGGAATTCATTAAACGCTCTTTTTCATGAGTTTGGTATATTATTTAGGCTGCCTTTTTCCGAATGTGAATTTATTCCAAGATCACTGGTGCTCGGTGTTCGTGCCTATTGAGAATGTTTAGAATTTAGCTTCGTCAACTGTTGCGATAAACACAAGTGGACAATCTCCCACCTCACGTTACCTCTAGTGGTATCTACTAATCTACATGTACATGCCAAAGAATGAAAATACATTGGAAGAACACATTGAGTAGAGTTACTGTCCACATTTCTGAACCCATACATATTCAAGAACCTGAGACTAAAGACCTCCTTATTATCATCAGAAAGATTTTGATGTAACCTGCAATCATTATCCAATACATACAATGTTACTACGCTATGTTTTCAGTAATCACCAATCGAAATCGATTCAAGAACCCTTGAAACTTGCTAGGAAGCGATTAACAGCTGTTTCGTCTTTTTCCGATACTTTTCAATAGTATGCACGAATAATCCTATTAGAGATTGAGCTGAAGAATTTCATTTAATGAGACGTGAAATCAGCCATTCTGAAATTAGGTGTGTTATATTCACTGATTGTTTCCACACACACACACACACGAACAGGGTTAACAATATCAATAAAAGCTTGATAATTTCCTAGTAGACTTTATCCCTGACCCGTCGAAATGGTGATCTCACTTACTTTGACTGGACAGTAGCTAGTAACTAGTGTAATTTGTCTAGTCCTTTGTTTGTCACAGACTGGATTCTATCATTAGTTAAGTCTGAAATGTTGCTACCACGCTTGGTGGGGATTTGCCATCACGGTGCACTCTGAATTGTTGATGTTAAATTGTCGGAGGTAATCTACCACAGGACACCCTTCTTGTCGGCACTTAAAGGTCAGTTAGAAAGGAGTACCTGTAACCTTGGAAGAAATCATGTCCCTTCTGAGATTCGACGCCGTGTCACTCAGTGCTGCCTGAAGTCAGAGACTTTACCTCTGAGTTGTATGGGCTGGCGTATCTGACCTCCTGTAGTGTTACACACATGACACTAAGGCATCTAAAAAAGTACTACAGTGCCTTGTTTCAACTACAGACAAGCGGCACTGATGAATATGTCAAAGGCATTCAGGGTCCGGAAAGCAAGAGAGATACCTTCATCATTCTGAGATCAGTATGTAGAAATCTAATGCAGTCAGTATAAAGAACAAGGATGGGTATTTTCAGCAATAATGTCAAGTCATTTAGTGCTGTTAAGTTCGGTGTCCACAGACTTGGATTACAAGTTACACAAAGCATTTCTGTCAGGCTACTGCGGACTTTCATCGACAAAACTTCCTTCGCCACCTCAGTACCGGAGATCAGACAGCTAAACAGAAAGGATTAAGAACAAAGAATTCTAGCAAGCTATGAACGAACGAAGAATCTATCACTAAACAAATACTCCGAAAGATATAAAGATTAGTGTGACACATATTGAAGAGATATTATGCCTTATGAAAGCCCCGAAATGGAATCAGAATGGGAAGTGACGAGTTGAATTTGTTTCCAAAGATAGGATAAGGAATAGCCAGATCAAAAAAGACTTCAGAGAGCAGAATGAAATGAAAATGTACTACTGAAGCCATACGTTCTGCTCGGAACCTAAGAAAACAGCAATAACAGCAATACACAACAACAGTGAAATCAGATTGCTCAGTTATATTCTGATTGTAGAAAATCAGTATTTGTACAGTTTTAAATTTTGACTGACTGACAGATTGTTGATCGATTTAGTTAGTCTGCAGTCACTTATGCATAACAAGGTTCAGAATCTAATAGCTTCCAAGTCCCAATATAGAATTTTAGTGAATCGTTTTGAATAATGTTCATTTTCAATGAAAATTTACCTTCAAAGTATGAAAAACTCCCATTTCAAGTAATTAAGAATGCATTATTCCACAGCAAAGAGACTTCCTGATTTTTGTGACTTCCCTTCAAAACTGTGTAGCGTTAGTTACTTAGGTGGTTTAAATGTACGCAGTACTGAAAGAAGAATGGAGTAGCATCAGGTTCTCCACTTAGTTGGTTCATTGCTCGCTGACTGCTTCTTCCATGGTGCATCTTGAGTCGGATATCCTCACA